TGGGAATAGAAAAGTATCTCCTTGAAAAACTTTTTAAGGGTTAAATTGGAACCCTCCTGATGTCAAATTTTCCCAAGTGTCTCCCTCAAGTCCTGTCTAGGTGAGCATAGACAGGTATTTATAATTACAATTAACTTCAAAACAAAAGCTCCTAAATTTCTGTAAGCCTCACATAAAAAAGAAATTCCATTGCAACTGAAATACATGAAACTAAATGTAGACATTTCTAGAACAGCTGTTGGTTACTCTAGCCATCTCTGTGTTCTACAATTTGTGGAATTTATAATTTCTAACTCAAAATCAGCAGTTGAAAGAATATAGCATAAAGTGAATTTCAATTATATATGTAAAGAGTTCTGTAAATTAATTTTAAGAAGTTATATCAAAATCTTATTTAAACCTGGTAGGTACCATTTTAATGTTAATTTTAAAGTTATGATAGTTAAATTGTATATTTGAATGCACCAAAAGTGTGTATTTGAAGGAAACCCATGCCACATACTAGGAAAATAGTGCACCTTTCTAAGTACTTTCATTTCTCTTGATGATAAAAAGATCCTTGTCTATGTGAACTGTTATTATTCCCTGCAGCAGCTTAACATTATTTCATTAATAACTCTTATGTATAGAGTTATTAATGAAAAACTTAGGCTGGAAACAGGGCACAGGGTTCAACAGTTTTGATAACTGATCAGCAACTTAACAAGTTTTGTGGTGCATTTTCTCTCACAGGCAATTTTAAAACCGTGGTTGAAAGTTAACTTTCCTAATGGACATTAATAATTCCAGAAAGATTGTATTTTAAGAGACCAGATGCGATGATCATGATGGTCTCTCTGACTTTTTTTTTTAAAATCCTATTTATTATTTAACTTCTAAAAATGAAAGAGCAATAAATGTGTTTTGGAATATGTTCTCCATGAAGAAAAGCATGTAAATATTTGAAAAAGCTTTTTAAAATAAAATAATGAATACAAAAGTTCAGAGATTCTGTGCTTTACTATAAAAGCACAAGGCCAAAGCCAGTTTCATCACGTTTATATACATTCTTATGTAGATCATCACTTCTTGACTTGAAAGGAGTCCAATGTGAATCAGTATACATCATGTTTTATTAAATAAAATCTTCTATTATACTTCCTCATTCTATGTGTTTATATACTAAATGGCTCAATTAAAAAGAGGTGAGTGGGAAGAACTATGAATTCATGTTTTACAGATTGCCCACGTTCAAATGTACTTTAAAAGTCTAATGAAAAGTAGGTAATTTTAAAAGTTTTGAAACTTGTCTTATAAATCATGCCATGCATTTTCTCCTTTCAGTGAGAAGATTACTTTTTATCTTCTAAAGCTACAAGGCATTAGATTTCCTCCTGGGTGGTTTTTATAGAGACACCCAGTTTAATGCCATAGTGTTAGACAGATATGTACTGAAACTTTTTTCATAGTCAGGACTAATTGCAGAATCATATGCCTAACTTTCTAGTCTCTTATAAAAACTGTGGAGATGGTATGCAAATGAAGTCCAGGATCAGGGCAAGTAAGTGAAGGAAGCATAGAATTTTCTCTAATAAAATTAATTACAAAATAATATTGGTTTGATTCTGGTATTTTTCCAATCCGAATAAGAATTCTTTAAGTTTGTGCAATAGTAAATTGAGTAATAGTCTACTATGTTTTAATTAAATTTCCAGGTAGAAACATTTGTTAAAAGCCATTTGTTTAATTCAGCTATAGCATTCCATAAAAGCAATACTCATTTGCTAAGCAAATTTCTGATGTATAGATCTCCTGCATACACTTAATACTGTTTTTCATAAGCAATATTGTGCTTTCACATTCACTGACTGCACAGTCTCCAGTTTAGACACCCTGACCACGCCTTTGGGCCTTCAGTACTTTTACTTGGCCGCTTTATTTAAGAAATATGCACTGGTTTAATTTCAGGAGACATTTGAACTTACCATAATTAAACTGGTGCAACCTATTTTTAATGCATTTTCAAGGTGGTTTATTTTGATTCATCATAACCCTGTTCCTAAAGGTATAAACAGACAATCAGGAAAAACTACCCTGAATAAAAATGTAACCTACATTGAGAGGAAACGGATGGTAACAAACCAGTTGGTAGCAGTTTAGTCTTGTGACTCAAGCAAGTCATACAATGTATGACTTAACAGATTGAATCCGGGAACAGAGAAGAGTTGTGTGCATGTGGGCACCGTGAGCCCTTTACTCTTCTCCGTCAGTGCATTGTGCAGTTGAAGGTGGGTTATTCACTAATGCACCTTTTTCGATTTTGTGAAAAAGCCTGAAAAATCACAAAATGAAGAATGAGTCACCATTTCAGGCCACAGAGCAGCAGCTCAAATACATCCAGGCTTGTAGACAGCCATGCAGTTGCAGGCCAGCTGACAGATAATGGAATCCAAGCTGCTTTCTGCTGGCAGCATCACAAATCCACGGTGCTTATCACTTGCGTGCAAGAACAGATGCAATGAACTGTGGGCAACAATTATTCATCGGGAGAAAATTTATTCCGAAGGTCCCATCAAAGAAACTGCCCTGTCATTAGTCAAGGAAATGATGATCTAGGGCTGCCATCTTTCACTTAAATGCTGTTTTTTAATTCACGAGGCAAATATTGTTGAGAAAAGGGTGTACAGGAGTGCAATGGCAAAAGTGTTATTAACAAAATAAACTACCTCAAATTTCCTGTGGGGATGCTGAGGGAACACAGTTATGCCAGAGCAGCTGCTGTGATGATGCGTGGAATCTTATTTTTGGTTTACAAGTCTTCTATTAAGTGTCTACATTGGGAAACTGTATTACGGCAACCATTCTCAACTAGATAAAGCAGTAGCTTTGGACATAAATGTCTAAAACTAAAGCAGCTACAGCAGTGCAAATGTGAGTGCAGTTCTCTGCATCTTGGGATTTCAAACAGCTCCAACAGAAAAGTTCCCTTCTTTGAAGGAGTTAGTAAGGCAGCTGAGCTACTACTGCTGACTGCACGCGTGCTTTCACACCTCCCTAAGCATGAGGGAAATTGTGCTGGCTGCAACTGTCCTCACAGGGTACGAAGTGGAGGCGAAGAGCACAATTACGGCAGCTTCGATACCAGGAGATAACACGATTGCACTGACACCTCGATTCCCACCCAACATGCATGCTCACACCTCCCTGCACCAGGGCCGCAGGCCTTCTCCACGCCTCAAACCTCCCTGCCAGAAGCCCCTGCAGACACAGTTAACGACACGGTTAACGCCGGCTCTCACGCAACCGCCCGCATCGCTAAGGCGCCCGCCTGGGCACGGCTGTCGCCTCTCGGCGTCCCGAGGCGGCGGGAGCAGCCTACCGCCCTCTCGCTGACGCCCAAGCCCGGACCGGACC